AATTAACAGCAACCAGAGAAGGGCAACCAGGATGGTGAAGGGCCTCAAGTCTGTGTCATATGAGGTCAAAGCATCTTTAGTCTAGAGAAAACTCAGGGGTAACATCATCGTTATGTTTGGATTTCGATTCAAATTAAGTTCAAACTCTGAGTAATGAGGGAATTGAAGGAATTAGAACAGCAAGTGATAGTGGGAATGACGTGAACTGCATTGACTCCATCTTGTGACTCAATTCTGGATCTAGCTCAGTTCCCTTTCTATTCAATTATGGGTCTAGTTCAATTTTTATCTTGTGAGGAAACAACAATTTCAGTTGTGGGAATTTTGAAAAAAAAATTGCACTCTTTGGACCTACCCCTGTGTCACTGGGAAGCTGTGCCACCTCCACTTGCTGCTTAGGTTATACTGACCAAAAACTCAGTCATATTGAAGATTGACGCAAGGAGTTTTCTCACAATTATACATTTCAAACAACCCATATGTCTTATCTGAAATCTGGCCCCATACTGTTATTCAATTATTGTTTCCCTGTTCCTTTGGTTGAATACAGACACTTAGGGAGAGTGGGACATTTCCTTTTCTGACTTCAGGGAGTTGTACCTGTTCCCTTTCCCCGTTCCACCTTGGAAAGTTCCTAATATTTCCTTCAGTTAGAAATCAGATTACCTAATTTCATTATGGGCAGCTAAGTGGTTCATGGCAGCTAGGTGGCATAGTGGATAGAGTTCTGGGCCTGGAGTCAGGAAGACTTGATTTTCCTGAGTTCAAATCCAGCCTGAAATACTTACTAACTGTGTAACCCTGGGCAAATTATTTAATCCTGTGTGCCTCAGTTTCCTCATGTGTAAAATGAGAAGGAAATGATATATCACTCCAGTATCTTTGCCAAGAAAACCCCAAATGGGTCATGAAATGTCAGACCTGACTGAACAACAATAATTTTGTGTCCTGGTTTATTGTTTTCAATATGCTCAGAAGCTCAAACCTCTCATTTGGAGAACTTGTAGTCCAGTGGTTCTCAAATTTTGGGGTCTTAGAACCCCTTATTGAGCCTCTCAAAGAGCTTTTCTTTATGTATATCATCAACATTTACTGTATTAGAAATGAAAAGTCTTAGTAATATTATGAAAATGGTTTTGACCTCACAAATCCCCTGAAGATCTTGGGGACTCCCAGGGGTTCCAGGACCACATTTTAAGGACAGCTGCTTTAGTCCATCATCTCTCTGCCACAAGGTGAATACCAAACACTTGTGATGATTACTTATTTACGATATAATTTGAAGTTTGGAAGTGCTCAGCTCTCCACCCACACTCACTCCCTACCCCTTAGGATTCTATACCATTTTTTAGGCTTTGGTAACTCAGTATTCAGTATTCGCTCTCTTTTACATTCTCCATACCAGCTATTCCAAACCTTCTTTTCTTTCCTGAAACCCCCAAATCCACACCCTGTCCTCTCCCTCTCAGATGGTCTCACTTCTTACTTTACAGATAAATTTAAGACCATTCAAAGTGAACTCCCTTAACTTCCTTCCTCCACTCCTTTACAATGTTCAGGGTCCTCACTTACCCATTCCCTTCTATCTGTTCTGTGATCCTGTTCCAACAATCTGATGTCTCTCCTGCATTTTCAATCTCTCCCTCTCTGCTTGGCTCCTTTCCCTCAATTTACAAACATATTCAGGTCTCTTCAAGCCAAAAAGAGATAATCTAAATCTAATTACCCTTTTGATGTTCCTTTGACCATACCAACCCCTCTAGTTTTCTTCCTTGTATCTTTCCTATACTTTGCTGCCATTTTTTTTTAGAAAGAGTAATCTACAATTGCTTCTCCATGTCCTCACTACCTATTCAGTCCTCAGTCCTATGTAACAAGGTTTTTGTTCCTTTAATGAAGCAATTCTGTCAAAATCCTTATCCTACTCCCCCAACTGCTCAACTTATTTTGATGGCAGCATGGTATCATAAATAGATCACTGTTCTTGAAGTCAAAGGACCTGGGTCTGACTTTTGAGTCTAACACAATCTCTATGGGCAAATCAATTAACCTCTTTGAGTTTCATCATTTACAAAATGAGCTTATTAATACTCTACCCAAGTCACTGGGTTGCACTTAGGTATCAAGATCCTTATGATTAAAGTATTTTTGCAAGAGCAATGTATATTTTTTTTTGTTTGGGAGTTTCTTGGTGCAGATCAGGGATTTCATTAGCTTAGAATTCCTGGTAATGAAACTTCTTCTACCAATGCACTTTCTTTGTAAAACCTATAATCTTAGAGAATTACCTTTTAAACTGAAAATGCTACAGGAAGGGGGCTTTAATATTGAAATACTGGAAGAGATGATCTGCAATAAAGAATTCCTTTCATCTGTGTAGGAAATTCTCTCCACCTCTCTAGAGAACAACCCCTCAATGACTTAGTAAACACCTCTCTTTTTGCTTGTATTTGTATTACTATCACAAAGCTACAAATTGGTATTCCTTAACCCAAAGGCAGGCACATAGTAATCACTTCATAAATGCCCTTCCTTTGGCTTGCTAGAAAACTTATTGGAGACCCTAATTTGAAGTTTGTTGCCATGCCTGTTCTTGCATCTCCAGAGGTTGTCATGGACCCAACACTGGAAGCATGGTATGAGCAGAACTTACAGATTGCTCAGATAATTGAGCTCTCCCATGAAGAAAATGACCTGTGAGGAAATTAAACTGGAGCCCTGTGTCAGAAATCTAGTTTTATAGCCAACTGTCCTGTGATATCAATGGGGTAGCATGTTTGCCACCTTATTATATAGCTGAGCAGGACATGTTTAATCTTTGTGATGCTGAAGGAGATGAATGGGCTTCAGAGGGAATGTAGCAATTTAAAAAATATATGTAATTCATATTTTGGACCTGTGTATTTAGCTGTTTTGGACTGCAATTACATCCCCTGGCGTTTCAAATATAAGATTGCTGCAGTCCCATCACAATATTCAGTGGTGAATTTTGTTTGTTACTGTCATTCCCATTCGTTTATCTTTTAGATCATAATAAAGTTGTATTTCAAATATAAATGAATGAACGAATGAATAAATAAATAATAAATAAATGTTTGTTAGCTTGACTTGTAGATAAGACTTAATCACTAAATGGGCATTGCCTCAGTCAAACTGAGACCTGTTACAGACCTCAGTTTGAAAAGTCCAAGATCCCCCACTGCTTCCTGGGCCATCTCCAGTTGTCCTGATCTATATCTAATCACTGGACCAAGATGGCTCTGGAGGAGAAAGTGAGCACAGCCGTGCTTCACTTAAATCCAATTCACTAGCATGTCATGCCATCACCTCCCTGACATCATGGTCCTCTTCAGGTAGGAAGGACAAACAATAACCGCAAGGGAGCTGTCTAAAGCACTTAGAGGGTAAATAATTTGACCAGGGTCTTAAAGCCATTGTCTTGCCCTCTTCCATTTCCAAGGGCCCTAAACTTCAGTTATTTCTCAACCCTTACTTCATTTTGCAGAAGTTCCTCCCTTTTTTTTTCAGGGTCCAGTTCCAGTGCCAGCTTCTTCAAAAATCTGCCCTGTCTTCCTAAACAACATTGATCTTTCCTTCTCAAATCTCTAATAGCACTCTTTCCAGCCCTCTTCTTTACACTCAATCTCATTTTCACTCACTCCCCCCATGTTTCTAATTTCCTTGAGAGCAAAAGTCTGAACATATGTCTATTTCCAGCAACTTGCACAGTGCTTTGCATGTAACTAGCATGCTTTCTTTGACATGACTTGTGTTACAGGGGTATCTATGAAATTTGAAAAGATGTAGAAGGCCTCTCGCAAATTAGGTGCATAGGATTTATGAGATGGCAAGAATAAGAAATGTATAGTTTGAAAAAATGTAGATAGATTGTAATCTCAGCAAAAGTGAGGAGTGTCTATATTAAGGAGCTCAAGGATCTACTTAAGTATGTTCTTGGGACATGCGACTTGATGGCTGAAATATTAAAATTAATTTAATAATAAAAGTTTTTGCAGCATTATATAGAGGAAAGAGTGATGGATTTGGAGCTAGGGGACATCTGTTCCAATCCTGGCATAAATATGGGCAAGTCACAATTTGCAGATGTTGACAAAGTAGAAAAGAGACTTAGAAATCTACAGCCTTAGCCTGATCAAATAGCAATTGTTTGTGGATCTGGAGAAAAGATCAATAGCTCTACATTCCTATTTCCAAACTCTTCTTGTATGGATTCCATTTTCTGGTATGGTTCCTCTGTGTCAAAGAAATCAGAGATACACAGTGTGAGTTCAAATTATTAACTGGAGAAACAGCCTTGTTGACTTTCTCAAATTTGCACATTGTGTGACTGGCCTTGTCGTTATATCCCAAAAGTTCTTTAAAATCTCAATAGTGTAAGTTGCAGGACTAAAAAGGAAGGTTCTACTGGCACCTGTTTTCGGAGCTGGCTACAGATGGGCAAAGATCTACTTTTTGTACAATTTCAATATTTAACTGGTGTTTTGAAGCTTGTAAACTCTCTCAGAAAAAAAGTGTTATTTACATTGCTATCCATTAATAAGCACCACTGCCATTTCATTGGACATTAAATCGTAAATAAAACTGAGATTAAAAAATGGGCCTGCTTCCTCATCTATATAAAAAATAAAAGCCGAGGGGGTTGGACCAGATGACACTAACGGGAGCGGTCCTATGGACTTCGAGCCCCGGTACCACGTCTCCCTTTCACCTGCCCTCGTTATCAGCCTCACATTCCGCTGAGGAGTCTGACAGCGGGAAGACGTAACTGGCCCGCCAAGGGGGCTGGTGGGGGAGGGAGGCCTCCGAGGCCGTCTCGCCCAACGCTTTCGTTTTGCATTTGAGGAAACTGAGGCCCGCAGCGGCGGAAAGGGGGTGGGCAGAAGGCCAGCAGGTAGGAGAGCTGAAGTCCGCGCGGGGCCCGGGCTGACCCAGTGGGCGGTCGAGGCGCGTGCTCTGCCCGCAGGCCTCCAGGACCGGCTGCCCTGTCCACGCAGCGGGGAGTGGAAACAGCCTCCCGGGAGAGGCTCGGGAGCCTCGCTTTGGGCCGGAGGTCACCAAAGAGAGAAGAGGCCAGAGTGGCCGCGGACCGCTCCTTCCCGCCATCCTCCGCTCTCTATCCCGGAAACTGACGCTGCGCGGCGGAGCTGGGAGTGTTTGGCTGCGGGGCATCATTCGGGGCGGTTCGCGCTGGGCCTCCAGAAGCGTCGAGATGCCTGTGAGTTGTTGACATGGGCCCAGCTGGGCCCCGTGGCTGCCGGCCACCCCGGAGCGCGGGCGGGAGACATGTCCCAACCGGCCCCGGGCTGTAGCCGCTGTGCTTCGGCTCTGCTCTGGGGTGGTCGACCCCGCCCCCTTTATGTATCCGAGTGAGGGGCCTTAGAGATCGCACTGATTTTTACTTAGGCTGACTCGGGTCCTTGGACCGCCCCCCACAAGCTTCTCTTGCTTTTCCCCACCTGTCAAAAATTCCTCCCCCCCACCAAAAAAACCTCCAAAACAATGAAACGACATCTTAGTTCTCTCTCCTTTTTTCCTACCTACGTCAGCCTTGGGCGTTAAGCCCTTCAAGGGCACTTTCTCCTTTCTGCCTGGCTAATGAGTTTTGCTGCGGGGCAGGGGGCTTGCTGCACATTCCTAAAGCTTTGATTTTTGTCTGCTGTCTAGTAAAGAGTAAGAGATGATTAAAGGTGTGAAAGTAATTCTTATGTGCGATGTAGTCAAGACTTCACATATGGTCGAAGTCCTGGAGCATTACGTAATGCAAACCACTAATGACGCATGCTTTTTTGTTTTATTCAACAGTTGGCAAGGGATTTAGTGCATCCATCCCTAGAGGATGAAAAGAAGAAACATAAAAAGAAACGCCTGGTTCAGAGTCCAAATTCTTACTTTATGGATGTCAAGTGTCCAGGTAAAACAGGACTTCAGTCTCAGATCTTGATTATTCTACTAAAGAAATGAAACCTATCAATAGGAAATAATAGTGTGGTATATGTGAAAACTCCCTAAACCTAGCCTCATGATAGAAAGCGTAATTGGAAATTTACTATCCCCTATAGGGGAATTTTCACCAAAAAAGTGCCAAGAAGCCTTAGACAGCCAGACCTTTGTGCCTAGCTCAGAGAATTTAGATTGTTAAGAGAAAAAAAAATTTTTTTTTGTAACCTGGAAAATCCATTTTGGACTTTTACTGAATCTTTTAAGCTTTTCACGTGGAGAAATTTCTTTTTAATGATGACATGAGAACCATCTTTTATTGAGTTTAACAAATATTATTTTGCTTCCCTGGTTTTTTTTTTCAACAATGCTGCTTTTTTTTCCCTAAGGCTGCTACAAGATCACCACAGTCTTCAGTCATGCCCAGACAGTGGTTCTTTGTGTAGGTTGCTCAACTGTGTTGTGCCAGCCTACAGGAGGAAAGGCCAGACTCACAGAAGGTATGGTTTGGCATTTTCTAATCCAGATATAAGATTGTCTGCATATGAGTGTTCTGCTTTAAAAATTTTCAGCATAGAAAATCTCATTAAATGTAACTTAGGGCTGCTCAAGGAGTCTTCCTCTTATAAAGGGATTGTTCTTTTAAGTGTCTGGATTTTAAGCTAATATTTATAACCTACTAGCCTCAACCTAGAAAGTCTTCTTTTGTGCTTATCCCACATGGTTTGTGTAAGTGTTTTACAGATACAGATTGTTAACTACCTGACTTAGGCAGAGAAACTTAGGGCTAAAGTGTTAGCTGGGCCAATTGAAGATTGATCAGAAAGAAGCTAAAGAAATTATAATGTAAGTCAATGGGAAAATGATTTAATTTACCAACATTTTTTTCAGGAGCACCTATGCATAAAGTAAGATACATCTGTATTTCTTTTTAAGGCCACATTAAAAAAGTAATCTGTATGTTTAGAATTCAAAGACTTCCTATATTCTACTTTAAATGTCTCAAACATTTTCATTAAAGTTGCTTTTATAGGTTACCTTCTGAAATGGAACAAAAACAGTTAAGTATGCCTTTATCCTAAAGTATGAAAGTTTCATTTGTCAAGCGACTGAACATTCAATACATACTACAGCAAAACTTAAGTTGCTTCCAAAAATATCTAACAATTACTTTAAGGCTTGCATAGAAATCTAATTATAATTCCAATCTTTCAGTAATATGATGGCAACAATGTTTTAGAATAGCACTTGTAAAATGTAGGTGGTGCTTGGAAATTACAAGTAGCATTTTAGAAATCTGAGCTCTAACCCCAGTATTGATCTAAATAGAGGAGATCAGTATTATGATCCTATTTTCTCATTCTTTTTGGGTATGAATGTTACATATAAGTATTTGAGCTCAAAGGGAAAGAACTATTACTAAGTGAAAAGCAACATATTATTGGTCTGATGTGTTCTCAAAGAAAGGCAGTATATCACAGTGGAAAGAGCTGGCTTTAGAGCTAGGAAGGTCTGGGTTGCAGTTCTGTTTCTTGGCACTCTAGGCAACTCTGTGTTTCAGGAAAAGTGCCAACTTGCATTGGTAAAGTGAGTTGCCTCATTTAGGAGTTCCTTATATCATTAAAATCACAAGTCCAGTCATTTTCTTTGTGTTTAAAATTTTTTTAAAGTCTGGAGACTTTTCTAATTTTTCTGTAGAGAGTTTATTACAACTCCTAACAGATCTAAAGGGGTAATTCTTGCTGAAATGCTTTAAGTGGATTTTTTTTTACAAGTTAGGGCTGAATAAAAAGGAACTCTATTCAAAGGGATTTTGGACAATACTATAAATCTATCCCTGGAGATAAGGACCTTACCTTCAGTCAGATTGCATAAAGCAGATTCAACCCCATAATTCATGCCAATGGTTTTATATAGTTCTAGGTACTAGAAACAGAAATGGTAATTACATAAGCAAAAATTATTGAGAATTTTGAGTTAAAAGGTAAATTTTACCTCTATAAAAATTTAATGTTTTTAAGTTTATGACAATATCTGCATCTAAGAAAGAGCTTTTCTATATCCAAAACTGTATTGCACAAGGACAGACTATCCTATTACTCTTTCATATGCTTTCTTTACAGGTTGCTCGTTTAGAAGAAAGCAACATTAATGACATTCAGCTTCATGAATTCGACATGATATATATCTCAGAAAGCCTTATCTGTTCAGCAATCCAAGTTAATCTGTCAATATAATTAAGTTTGACTTTGTAAGGTATATAACAGTGGTCTTCTGTTTTGGAGTCTGTTTTACATTAAAATTTTAATTATATGCAACATTTTTCATGTAATTTTTTTGTATATGATTGTTTTCTCTGTGTGTATATATACTCACAAACACACACAGTTGCTTGATCCCAACATAACCAACGAATGTTCCACTTCCATGATCAAGAATTCTGAAATTCTTTTAGTAACCATGATCTCTACTTAGCATTGCCTTTCTGTCTCATGCCTCTGAACTTATTCATCCTCAGCCCCTCCACCCTTAAATACTTTCTCAAATCATTACTCTTTCTCTGACTTCATTTCTTTCCTTTCCCTTTATTGATCCTGTAGTTAACCAATTCAGTGTTTCTCTGTCTTCTACTCTTTAATTCCTTCTCCCATGTCACCCCTTGTTATATTTCCACTGGTGCCTTGCCAAAGTCCAGTCCTGGACTAAATGTCTGTCTTCTCTGTTTCTATTCATGTCTTTCAAATGGTGCTGACTGTAGTGTACCTAATCTTAACTAGGCCCTCATTGTGGCAAGGCAATCCTAGACACTATCCTAAGTGCTAGAGGTACAAAGAAAAGTAAAAGGCAGTTCCTTCTTCTTAACTTGCAGTCTGTGGGGGAGAAAATATGCAGATAAGCATGTACCAATAAGCTATATACAGGATAAATTAGAAATAATCAACAGAGGGAAGGCACTAGTATTAAGGGGGCTCAGGAAAGGCTTCCTGAGGAAGATGGGGTTTTAGCTGGGACTTGAAGAAATCCTGGAAAGCCAGGAGGCAAAGATGAAGGAGATCATTTCAGGCATGGAGGACAGTCAGTAAAAATGCCCCGAGGTGGGAGGTAAGAGTGTGTTGTAGAAGGATTATTCCTATTCTATCACTCACTGGATTGCAGAGTACATGGTGGGAGGGGGCTGGTATACGGTAGAAGAAGATGGAAGAGGTGGGGCAAGGTTATGAAGGGTTTTGAATGCCAAACTATTTTATATTTGATCTTGGAAGTGATAGAGAGGCACTAGAACAAGTAGGACGATGACATGGTCAGACCTCCACTTTAGGCCTAGAGTGGGGAGAGACTTGGGACAGGTAGACCAACTACAAACTATTGCAATAGTCCAGGCATGAGGTGATGAGGGCCTGCACCAGGGTTTCGAGAATGCCAGAGATTGGGCCATATATAAAAGATTTTAAGAAGGTAAAATTAACAGGCCCTGGCAATAGACTAGATATGAGGGGTGCAATAGTGAGGAGTTGAGGATGAGACCTAGGTTATGAGCCTAGGTGAATAGGAGGAAGGTGGTGCCCTATATAGTCACAGGGAAGTTTGGAAGGGTATATGGTTTTGGGGAAAAGATAAGTCCTGTTTTGGACCTCAGGTTTAAGGTGTCTACTGATTATCTAATTCAAGATGTCAAATAAGACATGTTTAATTAGAGATATAAGACTGGAGGTCAGCAGAGAGATTAGGGTTGTATAAGTAGATCTGAGAATCATCTGCATTGACATAATCCATTGGAACTGACGTATCATCAAATGAAATAGTATAGGGAAAGAAAAGGGGTCAGGACAGCCCACAGCTGCTGGGTGTCAACTGGATGAAGATCCAACAAAGAAGACTGAGGGGTGGTTAGATAGGTAGGAGAAGCAGGAGAGAGTAGGGTCACAAAACTCTGGAGAAAAAAATTATCAAGAAGAGGGTGATTTGGGGCACTAGGTGTTGAAGTGGATAGAGCACCGGCCCTGAAGTCAGGAGGCCCCGAGTTCAAATCCGACCTCAGACCAAACACTTGACATTTACTAGCTGTGTGACCCTGGGCAAGTCACTTAACCCCAATTGCCTAAAAAAGAAAGAAAAGGAAAAGAAAAAGAAAAAGAAAAACTTCAAAAAAAAAAGAGAGGGTGATTTACAATGTCAAAGGCTGTAGAAAGCACGCACATGGAAATGGTGCAATTGTGGGTGATTATAAGATCAAAGGTATGAATATCTCTGTGTGTGGCTGAGGTGGGGTAGAGGGGGTAGGACCAGGGAAATGAGATACTGGGAGATTAGGGTATTTGAGGAAGTATCAATATGTATATTGAAATCTAGTAGGAAAGCAGGCACTGAACTCATTGAGGAAAGAAGAGGAGTGTGCTAGAAGTTGATAGACAACAACTACTAGAATTTTGATTGGGTGGTATGGACCGATTCAATTTCAAAATTGGGAAGGATATGGAGTGATGGTAGTCAAGAGAGAATATAGAAGTGGCAGTGGGGCACAAGGAATATTCCAACTCCCCACCTTAACCAGAGTGGTGGGTGGGAGGGAAGGAGTGAAAGAGCAGCCAGTGCTAGAATCTTCTCCCTTTCCTCCACTTCTCAACCCCTTGAAATCTGGCTTCCAACCAAATCACTCAATATAAACTTTTCTCTCCAAATTTACCAGTGACCTCTTAATTGCTGAATATGAAGGCAATCCTTCATCCTTTCTTACTTCTCTGTAGCATTTGATATTGTTGGCTCCCATCTCCTGGATACTCTCCCTAGGTTTTTGTGATACTGCTTTCTGTTGATTTACTTTGTGCTGGTGTGTCTGCTCCTCAGTCTTCTTTGCTGGATCATAATTAACATCCCATTACTTGTGAGGGTACACCAGGGCTTTGTCTTGGGTTCTCTTCTCATTCTTCACTCTTAGTGACTGCTTCAGCTAAGATAAGTCCAGTTATCTTTATGCAGATAGTTCTTACATATAGATATCTACCTGAGTTGCAATTGTCCTGCATCACCAACTGCCTATTGTATATTTTAAATCCAATATCTCAGGGTCCTCAAACTGAACATGTCCAAAACAGAACTCATCTCCTTCTACCCCTCAATCTATCCCTCTTCTGAACTTTGCTGTTTCTGCTCCATCCTTCCAGTTATCCAGTTTTGTAGTGTCAGAGTAATCCTTACCTCTTCACTACCCATATCTAATCGATTGCTACGTCCTATCAGTTCTGTTTCCTGCAACCATCACCTTCTTTCCAATCACATGGCACTACCACCTTAGTTCAGGTCCTTATCACCTTCTTCACACAGCCACCAAAGTGGTATTTCTAAAGCAGAGGTCTGACCATGTCACATGCCTGCTCAATAAACTCCAGTGGCTCCCTATTACTACCAGGATGAACTACTAACTCTTCTTTTTGTTCTTTATGCGCTGCCTCTGGCTCTAACCTCATTTTCCAGGCTTCTTATATATTACTTCCTGTTCTTAATACTATGTTCCAGGCAAACTGTTCTTGCTGTTAGTCACAAAAATATCCTGTCTCTGTCCCTCATGCCTAGAAGCACTCATCTCTGCACTTCCCCTGCAAAGACTATATTTTTCTTCATAGACAGCTCAAGTGCCATCTCCAACGTGAGACCTTTTCTGAGCTACTAAATGCTCTTCCCGCCAAATTACCCTGTATATATTTTGTAAGCTCTTGAGAGAATACTTCTCTCATCTCCTACTATTTAGTACTGCAGATGTGTCTGGCATACAGAAGGCACTTGGTAAATGGTTAATGATTGGTTTACACACATACACACACACAAACATATATGTACACATGTTTTAAATAACTGAGTTTTATTAGAATGGACAGAGTTCAGTAAAATCCCAAAATAATGACTTTATCAACCTTTCCAGAAATTGGTGAGTTAGGTGCTGATACCTTGAGAAATAAGAGTAATCCAGAAGCTAATGTGTTATGGCAACAAATGTAAGCATTTATCATGGCACGTAGGCAGTCTAGGTTTTTCTTAAGGTTATACCTGTAGAATGTAAATACTGACAAGTTCTTTTTACACTGGAAAGGCTTTGACCATATTCCCAGTGATAGAATGTCTGAGGTCAGCTATCTGAGGACTGGCCCACAAAGAGCACAAAGAGCCTCACCTTCCATAGGGTGGCCATTAGATAATGAATTCTTTGGCTACAATATCTCATCAAACTAAGGAAAATACAAACTAGCCCATGGTTTTGTGTAACCTTCTTTAGCTTTTGCAGTGACAGACAACAGCAGAGTGAACTAAAAAATCACACATTGTTTAGACCACCAATAAATATTAATGTAAATGTTGGTACATGAATGCCTATGAACAGCCTTGTCCAAAAACCCATGAGTGGACACACTACTGGAGGAACTGAATTCTATCAATTGATATTTTCACCATAAATGAAACCAAAAGACAATAGGAAGTTGTAGCTAAATGCAAAGCTGGGTCACACACTCTCCTTGGAGAGGCAACTAAAGGTGTTGGTATAATTAGTTTAGAAAACATGGTTCATGGGGCAGCTAGGTGGTGCAGTGGATAGAGCACTGGCCCTGAAGTCAGGAGGAGCGGATTTCAAATCTGACCTCAGACCAAACACTTGACACTTACTAGCTGTGTGACCCTAGGCAAGTCACTTAACCCCAACTGCCTAAAAACAAAAACCAAACCCAAAAAAATATGGTTCAGGAGCAAGAAATAACAGGTCAAAGGCCAATGGACTATACAGAAGTCCAGGGGAAATAAGAAATATCACTTCAAGAGACAATATAGTATAGTGGATAGAAAGCTAACTCTGGAGTCAGGAAGATTTGGGTTGTCTGGCCTCAGACACATACTGGCTATGTGACTGATGGGCAAGTTATTTAACTTCTCTATCCCTGATATCTGCCTAAGACTGTAAGTTGTAAACAAGGTGCAAATCTTCACTGGCAGAAATTCCTCACCAGGAAGTTCCTACACCTATGAAAGCACAACTCTGGTCCCCTTACCTGAAAGAAAGAAAGAAAGAAAGAAAGAAAGAAAGAAAGAAAGAAAGAAAGAAAGAAAGAAAGAAAGAAAGAAAGAAAGAGAGAGAGAAACAATTTCCTGGGACATCTGGGCATATTACATTGTTGGGCTCATAATAAGTATTTGCAAAAAGACCATCATGAAAATAATTACAGTGTCAACATCTACTGCAGTGGAAGAAGCAGAGAAATTGTATAATGACCCTGATAAAGACCTTTCAAATTAAACCAAAATATGATTTAATATTCACATCAAGATAAGGGTAGG